CAAGGACAGGCCAGGCTTCAAGTACCAAATGTACAAGGTGAAAACATAGAAGAACAGATTGCGCATGGAGAGATTATGACAGAACAGAATAAACGAGGATCAAATGAGCAAGACGGGAACAAGAAAGAACAGATTATACAAGGACAGATTACGGCAAAACAGAATACACAAAGGCCAAATATACAAGAAGAGAACAAGCCAGAACAGATTATACAAGGACAGATTACGACAGAACAGAATACACAAAGGCCAAATATACAAGACAGGTTTATGCTCCGACCTCGACACACCCAGATGACGAAGTGGAGGCTATGTATGAGGAGATCTCAAAAGCCATGCATAGCTACAAAACCCACTACACGATTGTTATGGGGGACTTCAATGCAAAGTTGGGAAAGCGTTGCGGTGATGAACTGAGAGTGGGGCAATTTGGAGTTGGACAACGGAACGCCAGAGGCCGGATGTTGGTTGATTTCATGGAAAAGGAGAACCTCTATATGATGAACACCTTTTTCAGGAAATCTCCAACTCGTAAGTGGACCTGGATGAGTCCGGACGGCAAAATAAAAAATGAGATTGACTTTATCCTGTCGACGAAAAAGCATATATTCAATGATGTCTCTGTGATCAACACCGTTAAAACAGGAAGTGATCACCGGTTGGTACGAGGCACATTGAATATCAATATCCGGCTGGAAAGAACTCGACTGATAGAGTCTACGCTCCGACCAATACCTGCACAACTCCAAAACCCCGAGAACTTTCAGCTCGAACTTCAAAACCGCTTCGAAGCCCTCGAAAACTGCATAGATGTGGACGATCTAAACAACATGGTGGTGGACACTGTCCGTACGGTTGGGTCCAAGTTTTTCAAAACCCACCGTACCAGAATAAAGAAACTCTCCGACAAAACACTTCAACTCATGGAACATAGAAATGAAATGAGGCTACAGAACTCAGAGGATGCAAGTCACTACAGGCGGCTAAATAGGCAGATATCGAAGTCTTTGACTAGCGACATACGCCAATTTAATACAGAGCGTATTAAAGAGGCCATTGAGCGGAACAAAGGCTCCAAGGTGTTCGCGAGAGATCTGTCTATTGGGCAAAGCCAACTGACGAAGCTAAAGACTGATGACGGTAGCATCATTTCATCTAAGCCTGAAATCCTGAGGGAGATAGAGAGTTTCTATCGACAGTTATACTCCACAAAAGCACCTGTTGAAAGCGAGGTTAGAGACCCCAGAGCCAAGCTTACCCGACATTATACCGAAGATATCCCGGACGTCAGCCTGTATGAGATTAGTGTGGCTCTCAAACAACTCAAGAACAACAAAGCGGCGGGCGATGATGGAATCACTACAGAACTTCTGAGAGCGGGTGGCAAGCCGATACTTAAAGTCCTCCAGAAGCTTTTCAATTCTGTCATCGTCGAAGGTCAAACGCCGAAGGCATGGGGCAGAGGCGAGGTCGTTCTGTTCTTCAAAAAGGGTGATAAAACACTCTTGAAGAACTATCAGCCAATCTCGCTTCTGAGCCATATCTATAAGTTGTTTTCGAGAGTTATCACGAATCGTCTCGCTCGCAGGTTTGACGACTTCCAACCTCCCGAACAAGCCGGTTTCCGAAAGGGTTTTAGTACCATAGACCACATCCATACGCTGCGGCAGGTTATACAGAAGACCGAGGAGTATAACCGGCCACTTTGCTTAGCGTTTGTGGACTATGAGAAGGCCTTTGATTCGATCGAGACCTGGGCGGTGCTGCAGTCTCTCCAAAGGTGCCAAATAGACTATAGGTATATAGAGGTGTTAAGGTACTTATACAAAAATGCCACTATGTCAGTCCAATTACAGGATCAGAGCTCTAATCCTATCCAACTGCAACGAGGCGTGAGACAGGGAGATGTGATATCTCCAAAGATGTTCACTGCTGCGTTGGAGGATATTTTCAAGCTTCTGGACTGGAAAGGACTTGGCATCAACATCAATGGCGAGTACCTAACACACCTTCGATTTGCCGATGATATAGTTCTTATGGCTGAGACCTTGGGAGACCTGAACACAATGCTCGAAGATCTCAGTAATGTCTCCCAAAGAGTGGGTCTTAAGATGAACATGGACAAGACGAAGATCATGTCGAATGTCCATGTTGTACCCGCTCCAGTTAAAATTGGGAGCATTACACTCGAAGTTGTTGACCATTACGTATACCTGGGGCAGACAGTCCAGTTAGGTAAGTCCAACTTTGAGAAAGAGATCTCTCGTCGAATCCAGCTCGGATGGGCAGCGTTCGGGAAACTCCAAAAAATCTTTGCGTCCAAATTACCTCAATGTCTCAAGACGAAAGTCTTTGACCAGTGTGTGTTGCCAGTGATCACATATGGATCAGAAACGTGGTCCCTCACTATGGGCCTCATAAGAAGGCTCAAGGTCACTCAGCGGGCAATGGAGAGAGCGATGCTCGGTATTTCCCTGCGTGATAGAATCAGAAATGAGGAAATCCGTAGGAGAACTAAGGTAACCGACATAGCTCGAAGAATTGCTCAGCTGAAGTGGCAGTGGGCGGGGCACATAGCTAGGAGAACCGATGGCCGTTGGGGCGGAAAGGTTCTTCAATGGCGACCGCGCACCGGACGACGCTCAGTGGGTAGGCCCCGCACCAGGTGGAGCGACGATCTGGTGGAGGTCGCGGGAAGCCGATGGATGCGGGCAGCGCAGGACCGATCGTCGTGGAGATCGTTGGGGGAGGCCTATGCCCAGCAGTGGGCGTCGTATGGCTGAATGATGAAATATACAAGAAGAGAACAATAAAGAACAGATTTAACAAGGACAGATTACGACAGAACAGAATACACAAAGGCCAAATTTACAAGAAGAGAATAAAGAGGAATCAACAGAGCAGAATAAACAAGGACTAAAGGAACATGAACAGAATATAAAACAGCACACAAAACAACAAGATTCACGAGAACAGATCATGCTAAAGCCAAATATACGAGTATTAAATACACAAGAAGATAATACAGAAGAACAGATCTCGCAAGGACAGATAATGACAGAACGGAATACACAAATCTCAGTATATTCTACACCTAATAAATCTGTTGAAACGAATGATTTGGCAATCCCATCATCATTCAAAAGAGTATTATTTTGGCCTGAACCTGACCCTAAAAAGCTACGTACAAAAGAGCGTGTACCATCAGCAATAACAAGTGAAACTTGGAGAGATTATATGAAAAAAAAGGAAAATGATAAGAAAAGAAAGGAAGAAGAAAAAGAAAAACGAATAAAAGATAGAAAAGACAAAAAAATGTTAAAGGAAAAGATGATTCTGAAAAAGAAAAAACAATAAAAACGAAAAAAAAGTTTATAAGACAGCAGGATTCGTCTTCAGGTGAGGATGTAATAGAAATTCAGTATGCTGAAAGTGGTGATTCCTTGGAGACACCACTAGACTCGTATGCTGAAAGTGGAAAATCGGACTCTGAAAATGAACCTTTAAGTAAAATGGCGTCTAACAAGAAAGCAAAGTGTAAAAAGAGCCCAAAAATTACTAATGGGTCTTATGTGATCGTAAAGTATGAACGAGAATATTTTCCCGGCAGAATTGAAAATAAGGAAGCAGATTTATACGAAATTAGTACCATGGTATTATCTGCAGGAAACTCTTTTCGATCGCCGACATGATATGGTATTAATATAATATAATTCCAGAAATGGAAAAATATTTATCAGACATTTACATGATTTTGGCAAGATACAGAAGCCATTAATTATTCAATTTAATTCCTATCATGATATTAGTGTCCAACACTGGATGTCCATCACTGGTATTTTTAAATGGTTGTGTTTTTTCAGCTATATTTCCAAGGGTTATGTAAATAGTGTACCTTTCCACTAATAAACTAATTACTAATATCTTATTTCATTACTTGCAACCTCAATTACATTCTTAAGTACGTTTATCTACAGAAGATTATAAAAAACATTAAAAGTAGGTCTTAAACTGTCCATGATTGGTGCCGTTACCTTAATACTCTATACGAGCAGCAATACGGTCCAATGTTACACCAACAAACATTTCAATTCTCGCCTCGTCAATCCAGACCTTTTCCACCGAAGATGTGCAGGAATTGAAATTTTGCCATATTTTCTATTCTCGTCTTGCCTCGTCTCTCCTCGCCGGTGGAAAACCACCATTACCTCCTACATCCATGAGACACACTTATAAAAGTAAATGTCCCAGACTGGATACCAAGGTTATCTATGTCGTCACACACTAACTCGAGTTCTGAGCAAAATTCCGAAAGTTCTGAGCAAAAAGTCACCAGGGTGCGCGTCAAAATCACCTAACCTCGGAGTAATCATTACTCTGAGCGCCTAACACAAACACTGACTCAACACCACTATTTTTAGCATGGCCATACATTTCACCAGGTATTCAGTAAATAAGGAAGATTTTCAGTACGCACTGTCCGTTGGCATATATACACGTCTATTACCATGAAAGTCCTAGTGTTCATCGAAACATTAATAACACTAAACCGGTCATTGCCACTCTGCACGATCGATCGACAATTTTGAATCCACTGCTACGATCCCCTGGGGAATTTATGTGGATTTTTTAACCGACTTCAAAAAAGGAAGAGGTTCTCAATTCGTCTGTATGTTTTTTTTGTATGTATGTTATGCGATAACTCCGGTATTTGTGAACCGATTTTCATGATTCTTTTTTTGTTGGAAAGTAGAAGTACCCCCTACTTCCATAGTGGTCCCATTTCATTTTTAAGAAAATCATCCACCTATAAGGGTGGCTGTTCACGCATGAAGATTCATTTTTATAAATAGCGCCTAAAATTAATTTAGGAGCAATTACTTTAATGGTTGATTTTGCTATTTCTCCAATTCAAGGCCTTTTTCTCTCGATATACTTTGAGTAGTGAGAACCGATTTTTATTGTCCACATGGATCCCCTGGGGGATATTAATAGAGGATACAAAAAATATATACTTTATGATAAAAAGACACAAAACGCAGTTGGGTCAATGTTATTCTCCGAAAAAAGAATATAATATATAAAACACAATTACCGTATGTTTAATTACCATCACAGTGTGTGCTAAAATTGCTTTTATACCTTAGGGACTTTTATTTTAGTGTCTTTTTTGTTGTAAGTAATTAGACTCCATTCTGTATTTCTATGCTCAAATTGACACACTTAGGGCGCCTTTATACGACACGAATTTCATAGCGCTCCCCCGCGCGGTCGAAGAGCGGAGTCTGCGACGGCCGCCGCCCAGCGGCCGCGTGCACGTGTTTAGAGACCATGTCATGACAAAATACGCTCTATTTATTTAGCTTTAAGCTGGAAAGTACTAGCTTGTCTTTTGTCTACGCGGGCGCCGAGCGGAGTTGCGGAGAGGAGCGGAGCGTGGCGGTCGCGCGAAAACTTTCTCCTCGTGTTTCCAGGCGCTAACTTTTCGTTCTGTAAGCATTTTTACGCTGCAATTCACTGCATAATTATATATGTTTTCACCAGGGAAGGAAGGCTTGATAAAAAATATTTGATTGCTATTAATTTTTGTAATAAAACATTACCAAATTGCATGAGTTCCAATTATATTTTATCATTGTTAGGTGAAAATACTACCGTTAAATTATCGTAACTCTTAAAAAATTTATTCTTTATGGGCACTCCTAGTAATAGAAACTAAAATGAGTTCCAAAGTACATTATATTGATGCATTAATCTATGTATTACCAATCTATGAATTATTTTTTATTTCAAAGCTGACGTTCTGATTTTACTCCAATGTTCTTGGTGTCCTTAAAGTTAATAAACAGTTCAATAAGAACATCGACGTAACTGTAGGTACCTACATGCACCTGCCAAAATAATAAATAAATAGCAAGCAAAGTATTAATCTTAGAATAATGCAATATTTTCACAAGTAAGCCTATAAATCCTTATTAATGTGAGAATGGGTGTAGGTAATTTGTGGTGTATGTGTGTGTGTGCATGGCACCCGCGACACAGGGTTTCCTGCTTTCCCTGGTGCGGGGCTATGTTGAGGGCGTGCGTTATTATTATAATAATGATTTTTTGCAAAAAATGCTATAATAAATTCCAATTGAGAAAAATATTTCCAGGGGAATTGACCAAAAATGAAATTTGGCACCAATGTCATTGTTGTTCTAGAGGTGCGTTTGTCTCTTGAAATAATTTGTCCCTTTACTTTATCACAAAGTTTTTTCTGCATGACTCTTAGACCTTAAATGGTTTTTAAAATTTGCTTTAAGGACAAAAGTTTTGTTACATTGATCGCATTGGTACGGTCTCTCTCCAGTATGAATCATTTCATGACGTATATAGTCATGTATTCTAAGAAAACCTTTCTTGCAAATGTTACACTGGTATGGTTGCTTATCAAATGACATATGACTCAACTCATGATGGTTGAGTTCATGTTTCCATACAAAACCTTTACTGCAAATATTACACTTATGCGGTTTCTCATTAGTATGAGTTTTTTTATGGTAACTAAGTTGACATTTTCTTATAAAACTTTTGGTGCAAATATCACACTTGAATGGTTTTTCACCAGTATGAGTCCTTAAATGGTTATAATAATATTGTAAACGGGTAAAACATTTGTTACAGTGTTCACACTTGTACGGTCTCTCCCCAGAATGAATGAATTTATGCTGGTTGAATGCATATTTCTTTATAAAACCTTTACTGCAAATATTACACTTGTATGGCTCCTCACCAGTATGGGTCTTTATGTGAAGCCTAAGTTGATATTCGTGTACAAAACATTTGGTGCAAATATCACATTTGTACAGTTTCTCTCCATGAATCATTTCGTGGCGTTTAAGATCATGTGATTTAATAAAACCTTTATTGCAAATGTTACATACATATGGTTGTTTATCAGAATGTCTCATTTCATGGTTTTTGAGTTCACATTGCTTAGTAAAACCTTTATTGCATATTTTACACTTAAACGGTTTCTCTCCGGTATGAGTCATTTTATGACACTTAAGTTCACATTTTGTTATAAAACCTCTACTGCAAATATCACACTTGTGTGGTCTCTCTCCAGTATGAGTGCATAAATGTTTTATAATTCCTTGTTTTGATATAAGACATCTGTGACAGAAGTCACAAATATAAGATTTATTTCCAGTGTGAGTTGTTAAATGTCTACTGTAATAGGCTTTCTTAGTAAAAGATTTGCTACAAAATTCACATTTGTATTGTTTCTTTACCATGTGTGTCATTATAGGACTCCTCAGTTCAAGTTTTTTTATAAAACCCGTATTGCAAACATCACACTTGTTCAGTTGAGGATCAACGTTCAACTTGTCAAATATGCTCTGCCCACATCTTGCTTGAGCTACATTAGGAAGCTGCAACATCACTGGGCCTATGACCATTTCTTCCTTGATCTCATGGTCTGCATACAGAGCTAGCTCTGTGGTTTGTTCTTCTTCCGCAACACCAACTGGCTCCTCTTTGATGTGGACTTCCTCATGCAAACTCATCGGGCTGTTCATCATCATAAAGAATGTCTAGGCAAGTCTTAGAAGAATTGTAAAGATTCTCCAAGGAAGCGATTATTAAAAACTATTGCATAGTATTCGAAAAGTCGCTTGTATTAGTAGTTTCTAGTTTGTGGGGCAGATCCACAGAACAATATTACCCTAAAGGGCAGATCCCATAGTGGTACAAGAGTAGAGTCGTGTATAGAGGTGGGTGATAAATAACGTCACGACGAAAAAATCACGATGATCCGCCGTCAAACAGTATCACCGTGACTCGTTCCGAAGGAACGACTTTCCAAAGTCACATAGCTGTTCCTCCGTTCCAATAGCTATCCCCGTCACTCACATCACATCACGACATACGTATTTGATACAATGCGCGATCTCCGTTCCGTGGTGACTGAGCGCGCCACTCGTTGTAGTTCTCTTCAAATCGGGCCTTTTCGGCGATGGGAGTGAGTGAGATAGGATGACTTTCTTTGCCCACTCACAAGGGTCGTAGGTGCTTATTACTCATCGAGTATTACGTTATTACTACTAGAATGGGCGGATGAAAAAAATCTGCCGCAGTTACTATAAACCTATTTATTAACAAAGTAAAATATTTTTGTATATTTGTTTTATTATAGGAAGAGTTGGTATTTTATATTTATGTATAATCTACTTTGTGTATTCTACTAGAAATAAAATTACATTACACTTTATTGCTATTGTTAACAATCCAATTCGCATTAAATAAGTAACAAGCAAAATTACATTAAATACAAAATCAACTTTTATGAATGGATTTGAAACGTATTACAAAGGGAGGAAAAACTTAAATCATTCTATAAAAAACGGCTATAAGTATTAGAAAGCAGCCGCAAGCTAAAACCGCATATCGTGATGTAAGTTATAGGCGTGACATGGTCACGGAAGTAACAGTCGTTACAAAATGTGAATGTTTTTGGAACCGGGACGAATCACGAATCACGGGGACAGAAATGTAACGCTATACCCCATGTCTAGTCCTGTAGACATGTGTAAGTAACATGTAAGTAAGTAATATTACAAAGGTGATATCACGCGTCAGGGTACTGTGATATCACATTTACCCATTAAGGTATACCGATCGACATTGTCGATCGTCATTGTCGATCGACAATATCGATTGACAATGTCGATTAGGAGCCTACAGACATAATCGACAATGTCGGTCTTGAAGAAATCTCAAGAATTATAGACGTTTTCGAGTTGTTTGGGAGTGCTTATTGAGAATGTGGCATTAATTTCTAAATCCAAGATGGTTCTGGAAATGGCATTTATATCTGAATACATGATGGCTGACACGACTTTTCGCATTTCTAAATGCAAGATGGCGGGTACGATTTCGCAAATAACGGCAAGTTGGGTATCGTTTTCGAGATATTTGGGAGTGCTCATTACGAATATAGAACTTATCCAAGATGGCGGACACGATTTATCAAAAAAATGCAATATGGGTATCCTTTTCGAGGTATTTGGGGATGCTCATTACGAATATATTATAGCACTCATTTCTAAATCCAAGATGGCGAGCACGATTTTTCGAATAATGGCAAGTTGGGTATCGTTTTCGAGGTATTTGGGGGTGCACATTACGAATATAGCACTTATTTATATTCGTAATGAGCACCTCCAAATACCTCGATAACGATACCCATCTTGCCATTAATTGGAAAATCGTGTCCGCCATCTTAGATTTCGAAATAAGTGCCATATTCGTATTGAGCATCACCAAATACCTCGAAAAGGATACCCATGCATTTTTTGAAAAATCGTGTCCGCCATCTTGGATTTACAAACAAGTGCCATAGTGCCAGCGCCGATTACCGCGCTCCCCTCTTCTGCGTCTGTGGGCATTCAAAAATGCAACGTTGTTTGCCATAGACTAATTAACCTACTGCCTATGGTGGTTTTAATGTTTTCTAATGAACTATTATTTAAAATATGATATATTACTTAAAGAAATATTTGTGTTTTAATACTTTCAAATTTAAAAAACTGTTTATTAAAAAAATAATTTGACAACGTTGTAACGTTCAGTTACAAGTTCCATACTGGGAGGGCCATAACCAGAGGACATTAAATCTGTTGGAGCCAAAAAAGTCCTTCAGTTTTTCTTCGGCCTTGTAATTAATAATAATAATAAGCATTTATTTCGGACCTGAGTCCATATATAATTAGTAACAGACTTACAAACTATGTTAGTAATTTACATTCATTTACTTACACATTTACATTTACTTTTATTTTACAGCCCACTTAGAGGGCACTACATGCAACGAGTTGAGACGTTCATTGTATGGACCATCAACTTTATTTGCTACTGTAGTAAGGAGGCTGTTGGTGCTGGCGCGCACCCGCTGCATTAGGGAGGCTTATCGCTTTCTTAAAATGGATTGGAAGCTATCCGTAAAGGCTTCTGCGAACATTGCTGACGCGCTGCAGTAGCGCGGCAGCCCCAACAGCATCCTGAATGCATTATTATATTGGACACGTAGGGCGCTGTATGCCTTTTGAGTAAATGCCGTCCACAGATTGCAGGCATAAAATGATTGGCAGTAGGTTTTAAATAAGGTGACTTTCACTTCTACTGTACACCTTGCAAATCTACGGATCAACATATTACTTCTAACAGCCAGCGCCCTACGTTCCCTCTCTAAGTCCATATCATCTTTAAGCGACTCGGTAACCCAGTGCCCCAAGTATTTAAATTCCGACACTGTTTCAAGTGTAGTGCCCCCGAGAGTGACTGGCGGCACAGAACGATAATGTTTAGCACCTGCCTTGAACACTAGCATTACACTGTTGTTTGCGTTATACTTGAGGCCATGAGTCTCCGCATATCTCTCACATATTTTTAACAATTTTCTAAGGGCACTAATCGAGGGGCTCATCAGCACCATGTCATCGGCATAACTAATGTTGTTGACATATTTACCGTCAATTGAACACCCCACCATCGCACTACTAAGCTCCTCGATCAGGCCGTTCACATAAAGATTAAATAGCTTTGGGGAAGTTAACCCCCCTTGCCTCATCCCGCACTCAAGTCTGTATGGTTCCGATAGCGAGCCTGCCCATTTAACCACGTTAAGTTGATGAATATACCAGTATTTTTAAGAGTTCAATTAACTCACCAGGCAGCGAGGTATCGTCACACAGCTTTTGAAACAGGCGATTATAAGACACCATATCGAAGGCTTTCGAAAGATCTAGAAAGCACGCATATACGGGCGTTTTACGGGCAGTGTAATATTGAACAGTGTGCTTCAGACAAAGGATAGCTGTCTCTGTAGAGAGCCCAGACTTAAAGCCAAATTGGGCATCACTGAGAACGAGGTGTTCATCCAACTCCTTGTCGAGCACACCGTCCAACACTCTAGCCAGGATAGTGGCCAACGATATGGGTCTGTAGTTGTTTACGTTAGACACATCTCCTGTTCTATTCTTTACAATGGGTACCACCAGGGTTTTCATCATGTCTTCAGGTAAATAGGAGTGACTTATACATAAGGTGTATAGCATGGCAAGTACTCTGGGCAGATGCACACCCGCGTGCTTAAGGTGTTCTACACTTAGAGAATCATGCCCAGGTGATTTTCCTCGCGACATGCCTCTTAGAACTGAATCTATATCCTTAGATGTAAACTTCACATATGATTTATTATTAGTTTCCCTACACCTGGACATTAACGAATCACCCGGCGGCCCCAATGGAGACTCCACTTTAAAATGTGTCCTAAATAGTTCGGCAATATTAGCAGGCCCACTAATGCCCTCCACGCTCACCGGCAGCCCCATCTTAGGACTCAGTTTATTTGTCTGTTTCCAGAACTTGCTAAAATTTTTGTTCAAATGATGTGACGCTATTATGTCCATTTTTATCTGTTCAGCATTATCTTGACACCATTTCAATTTCTGCTTAAATGTTTTACGGGTTGCTACGATTGTATTATACAGAGAACCCGTTTTAGGTTTCCCGTACAACACCCAGTTACTAAATTCCTGTCGAGCCTGCCAGTGAGCATGCCTGACATGTTTGTTCCACCCCACGACATGCTTTCGGTTTTTCGTAGTAATTTCAATGTAGGCATTTTTTGCCGCATCACTTAAAATACCGACAATATCTCCGTATAATTTGTTTATTACATGCTTATGCTCTAGATTACTACAAAGAATATTACTACAACTATTCAATTGAATTGGAATGTCTAATTCTTCTAAATACCTGTCACAAAACTCTTGATATAATGCTATTTGCTTTGTATCCCTCTCTCCCCAAGTAACTTTATTACGTGTATTTAAATTGTACTCAATTTTCTCACTAAGTAAGTTAAACTTACAAAATATTTCGAGTGGTAGGTGGTCAGACCAATATGCATTATAATTTATCGTAACATCCATTACAGATTTCTGCGCTGCTTCCGATACTACACAATGATCTAACCAACTGCTACTACCATGAGCATCACTTACATATGTGTACGAATTCGATGATAGTCCCAATATATCCACATCCACACAGCACCAGTTCTGTTCCTTACAAAAATCCATTAGTTCGTTACCAAATCGACTGCCACAGTCTGCATTAAAGTCTCCCAGAATAAATACCGAGTCTACGTTACAATGTTCCACTATCGCAGCAACCTCACTTAAACACTCGGTAAACTCAGCGAGGTTCTCAACAGCCTCTGTAGGCATATATACTGAGAAAACTAGAACCTCGTGATTTGGTAAAACTATTTTAATCGCTGCTATACGGACACTTTCGCACTGTATCACCGATACCGATTTGAATACACTTTTCCGCCATAACAAGGCAACTCCTCCAAACGGTCTTCCACGAAGGAGACCGGCACCTGTGTCGACTGCTGACTTTCCTGTATACTCAAAATCTGGGTCAATGTCTCCCAGATATGGAATATCCTGTGGTAATAACCACGTTTCCTGCAATGCTATAATATCCGCTGTTTTACAAAGCTGTCGTACGCACTCCACTGAGCGAGTTACCGATTTACAGTTAAAACTAACTAGTTTTGAATATTTATCATTTATATCAGTTTTATGCATTATTTGTTTTATTAAGGTTCCCGTCACTATTCATTTGTTTTGTTTTCTGGTCGTAATCATTCCTATTAAAATAAACAAACCTCCTAAATTGTATTCCTTCCGGCCACAGATCGTCTTGA